CCTTTATGACACCCTTTGATCCCCCCCCCCCCCCCTCCTCCGCCAATCTGTCTGTCCTGTCATCTCTATTTTTCTACCCTGTACTTCAGCCTTTCATCTCTGCCTCCCTCTTTTGCAGGATAAAATGCATCAGGAGGTGCCATCCATTTACTAGCCCTCTCAGACACAGGAAGTCAGCTCTCTGCAGACAGGAAGGGGCCTATAAAACCCTGACGTACAGGAAATACAGCTGGACAATTGATCTTCGACTGGAAGTCTTGAAATCTTTAAAACACCTTCAGAAAGTAAACAAGATGATTGACAAACGGAACATATGAGTCTTATAGAGCTTATTATATGAGAAGATATTTTACAGAATATATTAAATGTTCAGATGAATCAGTCAGCTGTTTATTACACCAGTTTAGATTGAACCACAGAGTTTATTTCCATGTTGAACGATTACAGATAACATGATCTGGGTATCAGCTTACTACCAGTGATTAACAGGCGAGGTAAAGGAAACCTCACCCGATGTTATTCAAGATAAAATGACCCTCCCAACATCTCAATTAGTTTAATTGTCTTTACATTAACGCTGTCCCTCCAAGGAAATGCTTTTTTTAATGCCATTCTTTTATTGGGAAATGCAGCAAAGCTCTTCATACATTTTTCAGTAGCACTTTAAAGCTATTTATTCCTCAGCCACTTTTAGTATTCAATATTTTTGTGGAGCAGAGATTTGTCTATTTGACTGGATTCATCATTTAATATGGAAGGTTTTTAATTACAAAACAATTTCCATCTAAGCACTTCAAATTAAACCAGAAAAGCTCAAATGATTTGACTGGAAAATATCTTTTAAATAGTCCCAACATGTTGCACAGTATAAACTCGGAAATAGTGAGGGGCAGCTCAGCGCTGCTCGATACGACCAGAGAAAACATTAACCGCTGCAGCTTTTTTTTAATCACACTTCTCATTAAAAGGACTTTAAAAAAAACAAATGGACTGAACAGTGGAATAAAAACATAAAAATCAGTGTTCCTAAAAAGGCAGCCTGATTTAGATCAAGTCACTTCATATATACAGGATTTGATAGAACAGCCACTGCTAACAAAAACTATTTCAAACAACCTGGTCAAATTATAAGATAATTTAAACTACAGTCATCAGTTTAGAGTTAAGAGTGGCGGCCCACTGGTTAGGGCAAAGCGCTTGGAATCCTGGGGTAGTGAGTTTGAAACCCACTCCCACAGACTGCCACTCTGGGTCGCTAAGCTCCACAATGCCCCCCATGACGACAGCCCACTGCTACCCAAGGGGATGGATTAAAGGCAGAGGTAAATTCCTCCAATGTGAGATCAATAAAGTTCAATTATACTATTATAATTATATAAGACAAATAGACACACTAATAGAATCATATCAAAACTAAAAGAAAATCAAATAAATAGGACATTTTCTGAATTGAGCCAAAAATACACAGCAAAAAAGTCATTTTTTTCTTAAAATAAGTACTTTTTTTTTATTGAGGAGGAAAGTGAGACATTTTAACCAAAGGAACGAGACTATTGACATTTAAAAACAAAAAAACAATTGTATTGTTTTTTTTTCAAGTGCATAATATCTAATTATATTATTTTAAGAGCAGAAATGCTCAATTCCACAAGCAAACAATCATCTCATTTACCTATTCAAATTATGGGTAAATACACTTAACTTAAGAAATCTTTACTTATTTCTAGGTTGTTTTTTCAGTATACATTATATATCTATGCGTATATATGGCATTTTTTTTTTTCTTCTGATTGTGATCCGATTCATCCTTTTTTTTTTTTTTACCAGTTTTGCTCACAGTCAGAGGAAAGTCCTAGCGAACCCTAGTGGGCAGGTACAAATGAAGGTATTTCTGTCACACATCTTTCATGGTTCAGTAGACTGTATAGCGAACAGGGAGGTATGAATTAGGGCCAACGATCAGCAGTGTAGGCTGGTGCTCCTTCATGCAATCCAAATTTGATTAAACTTTACAGGCAGCCGTGTGACGATGCTAAATTTGGACCGGTGTGACAGAATTGTTTTAAAATTTCTATTGCAATGAACAAAGCACAAGTAATAAAAAGTATGAGTTATAGTTTTAAAGTTTTAAAAAGAAAACAAGCTTTTTCAAATCGTAGAAACGAACCAGCGGCTAATTCATCACAACATATGTCCGGGCAAACAAAGTGGAAATGCATTCATATGTTCTTGATTATCTCACTTTGATGAATTGGTCGACATCTGCGAACAAAGTTCACTGAGTTTTGTTAAAAAGTTCACCTAAATATTCTTCACAGATATCTTTCAAAGAGCTGATCATTCTGCCTGAGGGCCACAATGTCCCAGAGAACTAAAATAGCCTCATAATAAAGACGCAACAAAAGAGTGCGTGCAGCACAAACGGTCTCATCATACCTCTCCTTCTCTGCATAGTCGTTATGTAGCTGGAGCTGCTTCTCCTGGGCCAGGTTCTCAGCTTGGTTCTTCAGAGTCTGCTCGTATTCACGGATCTTCTCCTTCAAGGCCTTGATGGTAACCTCTACAGAAAATAGATCAGAGCAGAATTATAACAGAAACAGAAAATTAAAACAGAAAAATACAAAAAAAACTGTTTTCTTTGGGTGATAAATGGCAGCAGTGACCATGATGAGTTTGATGGGGGCAATTTGACCTTTAAGGAACAGCCTTTCATATCCCAAATTCTTCCTCTGTCAGCACAGACCCAGACTGTAGCCCCCGTGGCTCCAGCCTAATCTTTACATCCGTGTCTTGTACTGAATATTCAGCGCTCCCCGGCAGCAGATATGTTGTCTTCATTAGGGCTGCATTAGAACTGAAATCCCATAACCTGCTGACGGCCGGGTTCTGTACGGGGCAGCCTGAAATAAATCTAACACAACTGGAGAAATAAACAGGCCTCAGTGTTTGTGTGCGTTTCTCAGGGAGAGAAATAAGTGAGAAAGACCAAGATATAAAGCAATGCTGCCTTTGACTGAGGGCTCTTAGCACTGTGTATGTGTGTGTGATTTAAACTACAGTCTCACTGCTCTGACATATAATCAATATAGGAGAGTCCCCTTAGAGCCCTCTTACCCCTTAACTGCTTAACTGAACTTTAAACATTTAGGTTCCGGGGATCAATGGCCTCTGCTCTCCGTGCACCTCGTGCATGTGTGCGGGCTCCACGTGTGTGTTTTAGCAGGACTGGGAGTTCCACGGTGTGTTTTGGGGTTTAAATATCCCCCACCATCTATTGAGGTGGGAAGGAGGGATAAAGGATGAGGGAACAGGAAAATCAATGGCGGAATGGAACCCTGCCGTTATCGAGCTGTTCCAATTAACTCTCGCTGAGGAAAAAAAAAAGGGGGGATTCCAAAACATTCCCCTCTCGCTCGCTCACTCCACCTTTTTGACTGAAGTTGCAGCCCTTTTATTACCACTTTACGCTCATCTCTCCGCTTTCTTTGTCAGTTATTCCATCTTTCTCTACCCTGAGGTAGCCTGTCGTCTTTTATTCATAAGCCTCGGCCTGGTTTTCCTCCCTCTTTAAAACCTATTTGAAAATGTAAAACCTTGTACATATTCTGTATCTGAAATATGAATGAGTCATTAAACATGTTCAAATAAGGACCTAACCCTAGAATTTGTTTTGATGTCGAACTACAGATTTCTTTTACATGTGCAGCTAATATAAATAGCAAAAAAGTTCTTTAATCACGCTTTAAAATGTGCAAAAACGGGCTTTGACAAAAATATGATAAAAAAAAAAAGGATATTGAAAAACCGCATCATGAAAGCAACTCAACCTTTGATCAACTGCGTCTGGATGAGTTGTAGATGTTTAAGCTTTAAATTCATATTTTTCTGATGATTATGGTTTAGATATAAAGAAAATCTAAAAGGAAATGTCTTAGAAAATCCCATATGAGCAGTAAAGAAACGTTTAGTGCAGAAATATTGAGTTTAGCCTACAACATCATGGAGGAAAAGCTGGACTTGAGAGCCATCACAAGAGGCCTCTGATAAAGTAGCTGCCTTTTTAGTGATGCTTCCAGATATATAAATGGAAAGTTTAGTGGAAGGAAAAGTGGTAGGAAAAAAATTCACAGATATGATGGAGCTCCGGCTTTATCAAAGACGGATCAAAGACAAGAGACTCCATCGACTCAAGTCTCTGTGTTAGGTCACTCTAGAGACATCTACAGATTTCTGCAGGATAGTCTAAAGTGCCATTTAGATGAATTATTGTTGTATTTAATTAGGAAACCAAGGGGCAAGAGGACAGAAGAGGAGCTGGTTGAGGTCCAGTGTGTAGTTTCCATGGCTGCTGATGATTTTGGGTGCTTGTTGTGATCCATTGTTTTTTATCAAATCCAAATCCCTTCAGCCATCCACCAGGAAAGTGTAGGCTGCACCAGGCTGACGGGCTTTATGGAGATGCTGATTTCCTTTCATAGCAGGGATGGCACCTGAGTGTTTCAATACCTGCCTTAATAACCATGGTATCTCTGCACAAAACTGTTCTACAGACTAACCTGACATACATCTAGGCTCCTGTGGATCAAAATTTCTGCAAGATATCAAAACTTTCTGGAAAATCTACCTTTTTCAATAGCTGTAAATAACATAAAAAAGAACCACGAGGCTAACATTCCCCACTAAAACAGACATATATACTGATTTTCAGACGACAGACACTTAAAAAAAAGGTACATTAAGCAGATAACATTTAAATTGTTTGTAAATAGGCCTTCTGTACTGAGCACCCCAGCACAGTGTGAGTTAGGAGAATGACTTGGACAGGTTTTTGGCTACTAAATTATCACCTCAAAGCGAATTATATCCTTTCCATTAATTCCGCTCTAACCTTGGTTTTTAACTTCTGCAAACTCTTTGTTGTAGTCCTCCAGTGTCTCTCGCAGCTTGGTGTTCTCTGTCTCAATGTCGTGCATCCTCTGGAGCTTCAGCTGCAGCTGCTGAGCCAGCTCCAGCACAGGTACAGGGTCTGAGGGGAGGGGGGAAAAAAACACACCATGTTAACATAGTCTAAAGAGGATCAGACAAGCAAGGGCAACTAGGTGGCCTAGTGTGCTTGGAATAACTACAGTCAAGGCCCTCAGAGCGGTGGTTTGATCTGGTGAGGGGTCCTTGAGAAAGGCAATGAATCTTACACTTTAAGGACAAACGTTTGAAAGAGTTCCACCCTGACCTTTGACCTCTGTGGAGAATGACTGACTGTAGGAGGAAGTAAAACACTAACCATTAGTAGAAATACTGTGATAAGAAAGGTAATAGGTCCGGTAATTCAGCCATATTCATATTGTTCAGTTATATTAAGAAAGGCCCGATATTTTTAGCCTATGATGGTGCGAGTTGTTGATCCATGTTTTGTTTTGGCTTTTTATTTATTACAGCCCATTTTCAATGTGCACAGCTTTGAAAAATACATTAAAAGCCATGCAAATCATTGTACTGACCCCAATAAGTCAATATTCTCTGTAACAATGTTTTGTTACGTTTTACAATCACAGGAAAAATCTGACTTCTTCCTGTTGGTGTCACGTGACCCGCTGTGTCCACTCAGCTCCTATCATATGGCTCAGACCTCCAGCTGTCTGAGTAGACATGTGTGAAACATCAGCTATTAAATTTCCAGCCAGTCACAGTAATAAGTTTATGACTATACACTGGTTACCAGTTTCTAGACGTGACAACATCTTAACAAGTTTCCAAACCACTACAGTTTTGCCCCCACAAGTGATTCCTAGGGTTTTCCCAAAGCTGCCCCTCCCCTATCTGTTTCTGTAGAGGGCTGACTAAATACTACTTCTGAAATATTCACAGATTAAAAACCAGTTCTGCTGTCTTCTAAACAGTTCCAGGAGGAAAACATCTTCAAAGCCAATTTACAAGCCACTTATCACCTATATTAACAAATCTTAACACTAAGTTTGCATGTCATCACTTAGTTGTAATAAAATCATCTAGTACCCTATTTTGTTTTAGATCTATGAATTCAATACTCTGATATCATGAAATCCAAACAACCTATATTGAAGAACAATCTTCATTTTGCATAAAGATGAGGCAGATGTGTTGAAACACGCTGCAGGAGTGAGGTGGTAGGTTTGTGTCGAGTCTGATACCTATAGAAACAACTAATAACACTACGCTGTGTTCTAGCTGATCCTATATCAGCTGATCCTATATCATCTCCCTAACAGAATAAATGTCTTTGGATAAGAATACAAAAGCTGGTCTTCCTTAATGAATTAAAGTGGGAAATCATCACAGCACTAATGAGGTGTTTATTACAGATGTTTGTTATTTCTCTTGGCTCCAACAACAAGTTTTCCCTAAAAGGTTAGACCCGCCAAGACATCTTTAATATTTCTCATTCAGATCCATTCACTTTAAAACTAAATATTAAAACTTATTCTGAATCTATAGCAAAAATGGCTGTGTAAGGAAGGAAAAATGGAAACAGAGAGGGTCAAAAACAAGGAAAGGATAGAAATACAGGAAAAAATGGAAGACAAGGACATGACTAAAATCTGCTGCTTTAATCATTCTACAACAGCCAAATTATTCTACTGAATATGTTATTAATGTTTCATGATTCGGAAAGCAGACCACTAAAACCCATAACCTGATCAATCAAGACATTCTGTTAACATGAAATCATGTATGGCTAATAGGAAAGGCATGCTTACGCCATGGCAACTTACTGAACACTGTATTCATCAATTTTCTTCATTAGGTCAAACAATATCAAACAATGAATGACCCGCAAGAAGAGACTGTTTAGCTTTGTCACAAACATTGGATCTTTTATGGGAAGGGATCTAACGCGACGATGGCTGACGCAGCGGGAGAAGTGGAAAACAGACACAAACAGAGGCAGACAGACAGGAACACAGATTAGACACATTAACGAGAGATTACTGGGCTGTGATCAGTTCTAGTGTTCACTCCGATGCATCTTGAAAGGGAGAGCAAAAACCAGACATGGGAGCAGACAGTTGAACAAAGTGGGAAAGAAAAGCAGGAAAAAAAAAAGGCAGCGAGAAACCATAAATTAGAGATTAGAGAAACAGGGATGGAAGCAAGAAAGGAGGCATTTTACCAACAGCCCCGGAAAACACACAGCAGGGTAAACTGTCAGTGTGATGGAGAGAGCCCTGTCAGTCAGGCCAATCACATCTGATTGGTGCTCATGGGTGGCAGACTGGTGACAGGCAGCCAAGAGACGCAGGCAACGCTCATCAGCATGCCAGCTAAAAGAGCAGTTTATGCGTGTGCGCGTTTGTGTGTGTGTGTTGTACAGATAAGAGGAACTGACAGCTTACAGCTGGGGGTAAGAGCTGTGTATGTGTGTGTGTGTTTCTTGTGTCTGACGCAGTTAGATATCTTAACTATGCTAATGAGAGATCAGCAGAGAACGATTGGGGAATTTCATGCTGATTTCGTGCTGTCAAGGTGACACACCACGCAGGGCTGAGTTCAAACACACACACGTTCGACTCTCAAACAAACAAGAAAAAACACAAAAAAATACAAAGTAACATAAACGTTTGCTCTGCATATAGACTAACAGATACTTTTGTGCCCTTGAAAATGAACATTCTCTCCCACTTATCAAAGTTTTGTCCTTCACAGAGAACCCGTCCCTCCCTCGTCCAATCAGCAGACTAGCCTGTTAAAGACAGCCCGACGTGTGGGCCCCTGGTGCTGAACACTCTCACCAGACACCTTTAATCCAAACCAGAGCACACTGGGCTGACTGTCCAGGCCTTCAGCTGACAGAAGACAGAAGAAAACACACTGTTTCCTCTTTCAAGACTGCTGCATTAGTCAGGCTGCTCTGTGTCTCTGTGCATCGGGCATTACATCATTGTCTCGCTGCAGGTTAAGAATAGCCCCGTCAGAGCCGCTGCTGACTTATTGGGAGCAGTACAATCCAAAGATATTACTGTAGGTCTATCCGTGTGGGAATATGATGACCTCCTTACGCTATAGATGAACTCAACTCCTCTCGTTCCTACATTTCGGGGCCCTCCAGGACTTCCACACAGCTAAAAATCACCAACCAGCAGCTCTGTGCAGATGCTTCTGTAATTTCTCTCTGCCTCAGTGGAAGAAACGTGACTGTTTTTGTGCGTGCGCTTCGCCGCAGCCAATCCGGGGCGTACTTGTCATCGATGTCAGGATGCACGTTCCGTTAAGACCATCTTAAAGCTGCACCCATAGGATTAGTCCTTGTAGGGATGTATTAAGGAACCACACGGCGCTCCAAAAAGAGATGCTAGACTGAGCATGGCTACCTGTGCTGAGGTGTACAGACATTTCGAAAACTCAAAATGTTCCATCCTGACTGACGCGCGATGCTTTGTCTAATCAGTAGATTCACCAAAACAAAGAGCAGTAGGATAACGCTAACAACAGTCTTCGGTGGATACAGGTAATGCGTGGCGAAGACTTAATGAGGGCTTTCCCACTAAACTGACTCTAGTCGTTAACCAGGGCTGTAGCTGGAGTCCATTCTCCAACTAGCTTGCCTTTTCCCTAACAGTCAAATCAGTTCATGTTGGGTCAGTCAAGCTTTCTCCTTGTTTGTTTTAAGTATTCTAATGCATGGAGATATTTAAACTTTAGTTCATTATGTTTATAATTGTGCTAAGTTTCAACAAAAATTATAAGGCAATTATTTTATCTTTCTATATTGATGATATTACATCAAATAGAAAAGACTCTGAGCACAGACCCAAATTGTGACTTAGACCTATAACTAACACTCACATGATCTGGATCATTACCAAATTTTAAAGAATGTTACTAAGTATGAGGTGCACATCTGGTCAAAATGTCCTTAAAATCCTTTCATAATTCCATAAGTAAGGCAATATGTGTGTCTGCAGCCTCTGGTGTCTGCTCTGCTCTAACCTTCATTTGCTCTGCTCTTTTCTTTGGTCAGTAGATTAAATAATCATGGTAGCCACGGTATAATACAGTATAATACTTCCCAAATTTTTTTTTTGTCTGATGCTGAAGCTCTCAGAAGTTTCATCAATTGTTCACTAATTTTCAAGTAATCCTGCTAACAGGGAAACAAACACAACTGAAAACAAAACCTAATATTTAATAATTGTGTCTGTTAAGCAGCTGGCTGCAAATAGCCTGACTATCCAGCTAACAACAGCTTTTTTGTCACTAAAAACCTTTGTTTTCTGCAACGTAAGTATGTTTATTAAATTATTTCAAGCATTATATTATTTTTTATTCTATATTTTAAACTTATTTATTCATCACAAATCTCCTATCTTTAAACCATCAGACAAAGTTCAGTTACGGGGCTGAATTTGAGTGCATGTTTCTAAACAGAAAATGAAAACTATTCTTACCTGGGACATCAATTATTTTCTTGTACACGTTCAAGAAGGCGGCCTCTGCTTCTTTACTTCTTTTACTCAAGGCGTCAATCTGCAAAGGTGGAAAAAATGAAAAGGGGACTTTTAATTATCACCACAAATCTAGGAGTCGGATCTATTGACCCAAGAGGAAGGCCCATTAAATTCACAGTAAGAGTAGCCTACATATCTGCCTTTTCTCACTATGCTCTGGTATGCTGCCTGCGATCGAGGCTATCTCAACAACGGCTGCTTTGCCGTTTCCTTCCCGTGAAGCCGGTTCAGCTGTTCGGCTGCTGACGGATGCGTTTCGTTTGCCGTGCACAAGTGCGTGCCTGTGTCCTCGAGTGAGTGTGCCCAAGCCCGCCTGTTAGCGTATGTGTGTGTGTGTGTTTTTGTAAAACTGTGTGTTCGTCTCCCCCCTCCAGCACGCTGACATCATTAAACAGCTGGCTCAGTCTTTCCAGCCACAGCAGGGGCAGATTATTCAGTCAGCTCTTAGCAGCAATACAGTGTGGATCCATTACTGATGTAGCCATTAACACGAGAGGACACGGCATGCATTCCATCACCAATAACGTTGAAATGGACGACATTAGGATGGATCTATAAGAAATTATTACCCAAAAAAAAAATCCCAGTGTGGAACTTTTCTAGTGCTGCCAATGCTGAAACAGGAGGCAGTGAGGCTCTGCTATAGTCTGTGCCACACATCAATATGAGAATCAGACACAGTAGGCGAAAACACATCTGAAATCATGTCTAAATTGAGGGAAACAGATGCCAAATAAAGACATTCAGATGGTGCTACTGTACTGGGCAGAGCTACAGCTGACAACTCTGGCTCCCGCACTCAGACTAAACAGCCCTGTGTTTCTCTTCCAACTCCTCCAGCACATTCACCAACTGAAAAGGAATGGAGACAAAAGCCTGCGTAAGTCCAAATATAAAGTCTTCACATTCCCAGCCAAGCCAGTAGTGTAGTTGATGGGTGGTTTAGGGGGTTCTTGCCACTGTAAACAGAACAGGCTACATGTAACACTGCCTCGGCTCCTATGGGAACCTAATAAATCTCCTCACATGGCTTTGATTCATCTCTAGTTTTTTAGCCGCAAAACATCTGGCCTCGAGTAGGCTGGTGCCAGCACCCCTCCCTCCCCCTCTCCCCCCCTTTTTTTTTTCTGGCTCTCTCTCAGTCTATGTCTTGTCACTTCCATGTTCTCAGACTCGTTCTTTTTCCCCCCGTTCCATCAATGATTTTCAGTCTTTTTCTGCCTGCTCCAGTGTTTCTTAACACCAGAAAAATCAACTCCTTTGGGCTTAATCAAGGAGTATCAGGCTTTAAAAAAGTATAAAGTTACAGAGTCCAAACTTTATGTCAGAACCAGCTGTTCATTATACTTGCTGCTAGCCATGTGTAGGTATAAACAATTAGGTAGAATTTATAAACAATATAAATATTCTCATTGCCAATATTTTCTAACCTTTTTCACACCTTGATAGAAAATGACCAAACTGCTGACATAACTTCAGGAAAAAACACCTAACTATACTGTCACCTGATTTTCTCACCCTAACGAATAAAAAAAAAAGAAACAGAAATGAAATATTAGCCTTTAATATCAGACCACATTCACACTGATCAATACTGATAAAGATGTTAATCTGGATCTATAGAAATACTTTATGATCTTTTTTTTTTTTTACAGTTGTTGTTAAAAAGAAAAGGCACTTTGTTTGTTTTACATTTCGCTGTAAACACGGATACCTTTCCTCAGTGTTATCACACCCAGGGACTCTACAACCGACCCAAACTCCAACGATAAATCTCATTTTGACAACACGCTGCCTCATGTCCTCTACCCTTTTCCCAACGCTGTGTGACCGTGTGCGGCTGAAGATACTCAGCCACTAATGGAAGATTACTGATGTTAAGAACTAGGACCGCTTACACAACAACGCTGAACTTGTGTGCATGTGTTTATAATAACATGTGATCAGCGTTTCTGAGAACCGTCAACACAGCCGATAAAGAACAGAAAAAAAAAAAAACTGATGGCAGTGAAGGAAACCAGCTGCATGACTGTACAATGACTGGGCCAAGGTCAGTGGTACGGCGGCTTTATATAGCGCAACATGGGAGGCAGGAAATAGACATTTAATGTAGGACACACCCTACAGTTAAAAGCAGGTTAACTGCAGGACCGGAGCCATTAGAAGACCACCCAGGATTTGCAAATACAGCCCTGCTGTTCCAAACTGCGGCTCACTCAACCAATCCCGATGACATCTGCTGTTACATGCTCCCCTGCCTCCCCCCCCACATCCCACACAGACACATAGACTCAGCCCAAGACAACAAACCAAGTGGCACAAATGATACCTCGCCAGTATCGGTGGGTTACCAATGAGAAGTGCTTACAGTGGCAGAAGGCATCCCTACAAGTCCAAACACATACATACATACGTCAGCAGCTTGTGGAACCATCACTCAGCACCGCCTTGCTCCCCTATCTAACCCGTAGTGTGTGAAGGGCATCAGGCTGACCTGTGTGTGTGTGTGTGTGTTTGTGTGTGTGGCCCCAGTGGAGTCTGATAAGGGGAGGCTATGGGAAGCAGAGACTGAAGCCTTGGATAATGGAAAAGCTTATCTGATCGATGGACCAACAAGGAACACTAAGCATGAAATACACACACACACTAACCCCGTTTACCAAACCGATGCCTCGTGGAAACCGTCCTGTTATTGGTAATAATTATAACCCGAGGACATCCACCTTTCAATGACAAAGATTAAACAAACTGTTGAACCCTTTAAGTTCCTTCTGCTGAAACTTTTTATTGCTCCCTCAGAGCTCCACATTCACTTAGCAGTGATTATTGCTTGTATGTGGGGGTGGGGGGTGCTGGGAGATGAGTGAGACTCCCCCCCCCCCCAAAAAAAAGACCCCTTCTTGTTTTTTTCTTTTTTTGTTTTTTTGGTGCCGTCTTGTTTCCTGATCAAAGGCTTTGAGGGCTAAGCAAACAAAGACGGGTCTAAAATTACACATTCTGAATGCGACTCAAGTCGTGGCATGCGAGCGCACAGAATAGTCGCCTGATTGATGGGGTGCTCCGAGACTGGCGCGGGTGTACAGTATTATCTCAATAATCATAAGATAATGTCTTTTTTTTTTTTAGTTCCGAGGCCACCCACGGCGCGTCTCAGCGTGTCCTGGTGTGCACGCCATCGAGGTGTGTCAACATAAGGATGGTGGAAACAGCTGACAAAGCCCCAATTATACTGCTGCCGTTTTTATTCTCTAAATAGATTGTAGATCATCAGCAGAACGCGGTGGAACCGCGATAAATTACTGTATTTTTACAAAAAGGCCAGCTGTGTTTGTTGTTTTAACACAAGAATATGGAAACGGACCCAGTGTTAAACTGTAATATTCCATGGCCAGTAGTAAAACAGACCTTGTCACTATGTATTCAGATGATTCTGCTGCACTGTGTGTGTGTGTGTGTGTGTGTGTGTGTGTGTTTCCTTGGGAGTGCGTCAGTGTGCACCCACCCACTCTGACCCTGAATAAAGCCCCAGTCTTAACCAGCCGTCTGCACTCCTACCCTCGGACTTTCACATATGGGAGTGAACATGAAATGTGCGGCTGCCAGGGAGGAGGAGTCAAGATGGAATCAGGCCAAAATGATGGAGGACGTCAAAGTGGGCAATATTAGGAGCATGATTAGACACACGCACAGCCTGTTCAATTTTTTAAATCGATCTTTTTCTATTCACCATTTAACTGAAAGTCAGTAAATATCATACAACAAAAGAGGAAAAAATGGTTTATGGTTCATCAAAAGAGAACTGAATACTACAAAGGAACAAAGTGTGAGGAAAGAGATAGGATTTTGTGGTGATTTTTTTTTTTTTTTTTTTTTGCAGGATGCAATTTAAACACACCCTGGGGCTACAGGACTTCATGAATAGGACAGAAAATCAAGAGCAGGAGAGGAGAGCAAAGCCAAGGAGGAGACGAAAGAGGAAAAGGGGGAAATGAGATAGTGCTGAGAGGGAGAGAATAAGTGACAACGTAAGAAAGATGAGAAAAGAAAAGGAAGAGAGGAGCTCTGAAGAATGTCAAGCATGGTTTGTAAACAACACTGTTTAAATACTGCAAAGGGAGCAGTGATGGTTTAAATATCTAAATATTAAACTCACCTCTCCTTGGAAGCTCTTTAGTAGGGGGGCGACCTGTTTCCGTAAATCCTAAAAAGAAAAAGCAGAGATATTAATAAAAACAGACAACACACAGAACAGTTTAACATTATAACCAGAGAATGACATATTGAGCAGAGGATGACCTTAGGATTTTAAGTTTGATCGACAAAACTAAACAGTTGGTCGTCTACCGCTCAGCAAACCATTAACAACAGCACTCGCAGATTGCACTGTCAACAACACTCTGTTTCCAGTCAGTTAATATGGGGTTTACAGCGGGCTTAAAGGAGGTTAGAAGATTCTGCCAGATTCTGCCTACACAAGCATGTCCATTTCTTATTTCAGGTTTTCACAGTAGGCTGGACACCAGGAGATAACCAGGAGTTAAAAATATTAGACCAAAGCTGTTCCATTTGATGTTTGAGTCTAACAGAGACGGTTAAAGGACATGATGGTATAGGAAAGGTTGGTGATTCTTTGGAAACTCAATAATGTTGAAGGTCTACTGACTCAGCAAGTCAGCATTATATAGTGGCAATGCTAATTAGGGGTGTAAATAATAATCGTTTTGTATCGATGCATCGATTCAACAGCCGACGATCCGATGCATCGATACGTCCGCAAGAGTATCGATTTATGTTTTCTTTTTCCTCCGGTCTATTTTTATCTATTTGCTCCTGGACGTAATTCTCCCTCCTGTGCTGCGGTGGCGCTATCAAATTTTGCCCTCCTACCTCGCTTCCTGGTTATACTCTTACAGCAGTGTGTTGCAGCGAACTTGACACAGACATTTCTGATTTATCCTCAATATTGAAGCGTGGTCTGTGCTACAGGCTGTGGCTCTAGATACGGCCATGAGGTGACGAAGTGGGAGCGAGTTTAGTCCGATGACGGGACATGAGGGTCATGAAAACAAAACAAGCCGGCCTCTTGTCTGCGGCACTGTTTGCGGTCAGCTACAATTTAGGAGAGCTGCAGCGGAGCGTCTGTGGGGGGTGCGGGGACGTCTGGAGCCGAGGTATTGCATTGCACTCCTTGCACTGATTTTGTGCAGTATTTTTTGATGCAAAGCGTTTCAGAATCTAAAACGCAGGGGCATTATTATTTTTCAGTGAATGAGGTTTTAATAGGAATAGGTTGAGTGCAACTTTTCTACTTCTGTTATTTGCTGTTGTTTCTAAAAAATAAAATAAAATGCATAACGATATTACAGCTTTCATTGATTCATTTCAAATTTGAGTTAAGGTGTAAGGTGTAAAAAAAAAAAAAATGAACCAATTAATCGAATCGTATCGTGGTGTATTCTTGGGTACCGAAAATAATCTAATCACTGGTTCAGGAAATCGATACTGAATCGAATCGCCATGATGGGTGTGATTTACAACCCTAATGCTAATCATGCTAAAGTAAGTGCATCACATCATTTCAGCTTTTTAATCAATAAAAAAAATTGTGAAAATCTGTTAAACCTTGGAGTGACATAACACCAATTGTTCCCTCTTACACATAGTGCGACGTCACCCCGGTGACATTATGGGTAAGCATCAATGACATACTTATATACTAATATTTTTCTGCTTATCCTAAGGTTAGAAACAATATTTATAGCTGAACCTGTAGAAGAATCTGATATTGTGATGCAATTTTCAGGTCTGAAAAAAGTGATAACAAATAGCGTTTGTTCATTTTAAAGATGTCTGTTAAATTCAGTTTATTTATTTGGTGCCAACTCACAACAAATGTCATCTCAAGGCACTTTACAGACATTAAGCCAGATTCAGTTCATTTTGGTTGGTTAATTTTTACATTTATGCATTTATTTTAAAGGTTAAAGTAGCTCCTTTGTATTGACCAGTATTTTATAGCTTAATCCCGTTTTCCATTTTTTTTTTCTTAACTAATTTTTTTTCACAGCAATTTTGTCAGCCTTTATGTTGCCTTTAAGAGCTTTAGAAATATGATATGGTACCTCTGTCATAACCCGAAGCTTAGCTTTGAAATTTTATTTATGCTGTCATCACTATTTTATTTCACCGTTTATATTTTTTAAGTCAACGAATAGCAAAGAATTATATATATATATATATATATATATATATATATATATATATATATATATATATATATATATATCTATCTTAAGATATTTGTTTCTGGAAAATTTCTAATTCTTGAATTTGTTATTGGAAAAGTTCTGTTAAAAACAAAGGGTAGGGATATTCTGAAGAAGTTAAAAATCTATTAAGGGCATACAAAAAGCTATAACACACCAAAGCCTGCCCCTTCAGAGGGGCAGTCCTTCCTTCCTGCTACCAATGAATCCATTGTGGTGTGTGAGTGATGAACATCCGAGTGGAGAAAAGGCCTGGTTTATACCCCGAGGTGCTCCACCGAACGGTGTTTCTTATTAGAACAGGTGCAGCACCACCTGGGCCACCCAGAGGCACCACTAGTGCGTGCAATTCAGTGGCGAAAGGAGACACGGAGCACAACTACAGTTGATGCAAATTGCATTAGCGTCGCACTAGGTTTTTTCTTTTTTTTTTTGGACTACAAACCAAAAGCTTTTCATCCTTCAGGTCCTATTATATGACTTTCCAGTAGGAGTCAGCAGTTTTAGATTAGATAGCCAGTCCAATATGTATCAGGGGAACATGCAAATCACTGTGCTGTTAGGCAGGCCTGCATCCTGACAGACTGAACTGGAGCGTACGGTAAAAAGCTCAGCAGAATAGGACATTCTGTGCAGGAACATTTGATTTGCACAGTTTATGGACACAAACACAACACTGACTAATGAAGATGTTAAGCAGGACAATAACAGCTGTTTCAAGAGAAGAATCTGCATCTTTTAAAAACCTGCAGCAGTGGGAAATGTGGAGTAAGAGGCATCCTGGGCTGACCTGGGAGCTGGTCCAGACAGGCCGTTTGTCTGGGTCTTAGGACAGGTCATGAGTCTATGACCCCGCTTCATTGTTACCTCATTAGCGGTAGGGGGGTTGGCTGTTTGTCTGGGTCCATTCAATACTCCCCTGTTGTTGGTAATGACCTGCCCCCCTCACCCCACCTTCTCCTGTCCAGGGTTGCCTCACACAAAACTAGCAGTTAAGTGGCTGTTATGAAATTTGCATCAGATTGTGATCGTTTTTTTTTTTTGTTTTTTTTCAGTGTATTTTTGATATTAGCAATACATGCTTAGGTTTCGATGAGGTTTTTTAACTTGCCATTCATTATTTTCATTACTTTAAACATTCCATTAAGATGTTAAAAGTTGTTTGCAGATCAATAGAATGTGAGGAGGCTGTTATTTTCTACCCTTAATAATGTCTTACACTGTAAAGACAAATCTTCAGATCCTGAGCAAAAGGTGTTCACATGGTTAAGTTGGAATTTGTCTTACTCAAATTTCAGGTTTCATACAAACGTTTAAAGCTCTATCCTTCTTCAGGAGCTGCTTTATCTTCAATCTAACAGTTTGGACTAGAGGTATACCGATACGCCGGCCAGCGGATATTTTTGGTAGATAAATTTTTCTTGTAACTGTATAGGCTGATTCCTTAGTGCATTCAGCAGCCATGCCTTAAGATCACATTTAGCAAACGCCTGGGCCCTCCATCAATTTGCTATCTATCGTTAATGCTCGGTTTTCTAAATAAATGTTTCTTTTTCGTTTGAGTTGAAATTTGTCCTAGTTATTATTTTGCCATTTTTATCATTTAAACGGAGAAAGAAAACTGACTCCAAAATCTGACCAAAAGTATCAGCAGCTCATATGGGGTTTCATTTAGACTTAAGTCAAAATAATTGGTATCAGCTTTAAAAAACTATATCGCTTGACCTCTACTTAGGACATTTAAAAAAAAATAAATAAATAAAATGTATTTCAAACTCATGAAACAGAAATAAGGCGTTCAAATTCAGAGATAAAAATGCCCTTTTCACCCCTTTCAGACATCTCAAAAAACAGAGTTGGTCACAAACTGTGTTTTTAATAAAGGCTCTACTAATTCAAATAAGGATTTTAAAGTGTTTTTTGAGTTTAAAAATCATAAAGGCTTCCAAAATTACAAAACACTCCAAACTGTTAGAGTATTGAAAATAATCTCTGTTTATTGATAAAAGCACTGAATTTGCAGGAGTGCTTTAGTCCAGTCCTTGAGAGCAACCATCATGCAACTCTTAGGCTACGTTCACACAGCAGCCTGTAGCGACCCAAATCCGATTTTTTGGCCCATATGCGACCTGGAGCTGTTCTTTTCATGGCTGTCTGAACAACACAGATACGATTTTTTTCCAATGTGACCCAGGCCACT